ACATTCAACAGGGAGCTTGTAGGTTACATATTAAAAAATGGCAATGTCATAATGGGACTATGATGGTTTTTATCTAACATATTTTAAAATGTCAGATGCTTGGGCAGTTAAATATTTCTCCAGCAAACTCTACTTCAATCATAAGGGTGTAATCTCCCCATGCATATAATTTCCATTGATAGTATTTGAAGCTTCAAGTGCAGATAATCAATAGATCTTTGTCCTGTTGCAATTATGTATGAAAGTCAATACATTTTCATTCAAACAGTGAATAATCAAGATACTTCATTTGGGTCTGATACATGCTTCAGTCATTCTGAGGTAGAATAAATGTTTTTCTGACAACTAAAATAATGAATTTTTATGCTACATGAATAGAAATGACTAAGTTATGAAATCCTGACAAAACATGCTGTACAACATTGATGTAGAAGCATTGACAGACTGGTGCTGCAATAGGTGTTGTGGTCTCTGTGGGTGTGTCCCGATGAGTGCGCATTTGTGGTTGCAGTGCTGCAAACTGCACGTGGTACACATGCAGCCATTCGCTGCACTGCAAATTTGCAGCGAGCACCAAAATTTGACAATGAGAGATCCTGGTGTTAAAAAAACAAAACAAAAAACCTACTTCATAAAGTGGCATGGCACATGTGGCAGCAGTATGTACTGCCAGTAATGGAGCCCGGCCAGCCAAAGCCATGCTCTGGCTGCCAATTAGGCTCTGAGCAGCTGGATCACTGCTGACACTGTCCCAGGAGGCCCCCAGGACCTCAGGTAAGGCTGCTGAGGTCTACCCCACTGGGAAAATTTGCCCCACACCAACCCCATGTGCACAAATTTGTGCTGCTATTTTTGCCACATCAACTGCACATCACTGCATGCGGGGATGTATCCTGTGTGGGTAATAAAGGACTGCATTTCTAGAGCATTGCCTGGGAACTGTAGGACCAGGTCCTCAGCTGGTGTAGATTGGTATAGCTCCATTGACTTCCCTGGGTTACAACCATGCCCACTAGCTGAAGATACTGCATCACTAAAACCAGTGGAGGCTTTGCCAGTGACATCAAAGACTGAAGGATTGTGCTTTTAATTGTGTGGCTAAACCCTCACCTTTTAGACCTATTTACCTATATGCATTACATGTGACTTGGCCTCATTCAAAGCAATGCATTGGACTGAAATCCTTGGAACTGACCCTGCCCCATTAATGAGAGTTTTGCCATTGACCTCAGTGGGGGAAGGATTCTCTCTTGTTCTGTAGCATACCTAGTCATGGCTTGTGCTTCAGGTAACCTGGGATGATCATGGAGTAGGTCCTCAAGAAATGTATTGTGAAATACCTAGAGGGGAATAAGGTGATCAGGAGAGCCAGCATGGATTCACTAACAGCAAGTCATGCCTGACCAGTGTGATTTCCTTCTATGATAAAGTGACAGGCTCTGTGGATACAGAGATAGCACTGAATGTGATATATCTTGCCTTTAGCAAGGCTTTTGGCACTGTCTCCTATAACATTGACAGTAATAAGCTAAGAAATACAGACTGAATGAAAGTACTGTAGTGTGGATACATAACTGGTTGGATCATCTTACTCAGCTAGTAGTCTTTGATGGCTCAACATTTTGTTGGGAGGAGGTATCAAGGTATCAAGCCTCACCTAGAGCACTAGGTCCAGTTTTGGGCCCCACACTTCAAGAAGGATGGGGACCAATTGGAGAGAGGCCAGCACAGAGCAACAAAAAATGGTTAGGAACCTGGAAGCAAGATTTATGAGGACAGAAAAACTAGAGTTATTTAGTTTGGAGAAGAGAAGACCAAGGCAGATTTTAATTAAAGCCTTCAAATACCTCATTATAGAGAGGATGGAGATGTGCTTTTTTCTGTAGCCATAGAGGACAGGACTAAGAGAAAGGACCTTAAGCCTGAGCAGAGAAAATTTAGTTGAATATGATGTTATCTGTAGTGTAGTCAGTAAGAGTAAGAGTGTTACTGAAGTCCAGATGGCGATCTCTTTTTCTTAATTTCATTCAGTTCTAGCAATAACATTGGATCCATTAAATTATTCTTCTGTCAGGTATGATTTTTTCTGCATAGTCTTTGATGTCTTGTCTCATCTCCCTTACATTTTTTCAGATTTAAAGATCATTGGGGTATGCTTCTTTATCTTATAAACTGTCTAGTTTTTATTCTACTACCAGTTGCTAATCAGAATAAAAATACCAATCAGTACTTGTTCAAATAAAAGCAATGTTGCCTTATCAGAGCATCAGGTAAATGAAATAATCTGAGTTAAAGAATCAGAAAACATATATTATCTATTAAATGAATTAGGTATACGTGTAAATGGTCAGGACACAGTACTTGAGGCTGAAATGTATTTGGTAAAAATTAACCTTCAAGGGTCTTATAATTAACAATCCTGTTCTCTAAAGCAGATTGGTAAATTTTTCTTTGTGTGTGAGAAGCATACATGTCATTTTTATGCTGTTATGATATCCTTTCAGTGTTTTCCAATGATTTCAGAACTGGATTTAGGATTTCAGTACTTGTTTTATTTAATGGGAGAAGATAGCCTTCTAAAACGTTTGGCTTCATTCATGGGCAACTTAATCTGGATGTTGGTAGTACCCTCCTATCCTCCTGTGGTAGTAGTGGATATTGAAAGACAAGCACACACTGAAATCCAAAGTGTTATTAAGCACTTCATGTAAAATAAATTGTAAAGGCATTGGATCTAGGCAAAGAATTTGTCAACTTGTCAAAAGTTTTAAAATGTCCTCAATTATATGAGTTTAAAATAAAGCTGAATCATAGAAAATTAGGGCTGGAACGGACCTCAGGAAGTCATCTACTCCAACCCTCTGATCAAAGCAGGACCATCCTTAACTAGGTCATCCCAGCCAAAGCTTTGTCTACCAGGTCTTAACAACCTCCAAGGATGGAGATTTCACCACCTCTCTAAGTAACCTGTGAGTCCTTTACTACCCTCCTTGTCAGAAGGTTTTCCCTAATATCTAACCTAAACTTCCCTTGCTGCAACTTGAGACCATTGGCCCTTGTTCTGTCATCTGCCACCACCGAGAACAGTCTAGCTCCATCCTCTTTTGAACCCCCCTTCAGGTAGTTGAAGGCTGCTATTAAATCCCCCCTCAGTCTCCTCTTCTGCAGACTAAATAAACCCAGTTCCCTCAACCTCTCCTCATAAGTCATGTGTCCCAGTCCCCTCATCGCTTTTGTTGCCCTATTAATCAGCTGATTAATCAAGAATGCCACATTCAGGCCTGGTATATTCTTGTGTTGCTTCATGATATGTCTGTGTCAATAGAGAACAATATTCTTGTCACAATGTCATGAGGAGAGCATACACTTTACAGGCCAGCCTCCAGAACCAGTATTCTTGCTTTGTTTCTCAGCTCTAATCTTCAAAGGATGAAGATGGAAAGCTTGGGAAAATGGGGCTCTTTCTGAAGGAATAAATATTTCTTTTATATCCTTTCCTTATTTTCTGTTCCTTGGTTACTAATCAATTTTAAGGCTTCCTGGAATTTTTCAGGCCATAAAATGAACAACCAAAAAATAAAACCCCATTTTTTTTCTGTGAAATGTGCTGGTTTAGTCTGGTGTTTCCTTAAAATTAAACCTGTCTGCCTAATTGGGTAGCACAGCCTTTATAAATACAAAGTACTTGATTAATTGGAAAACATTACTGTTTGACAAAAAGGAGCAAAAAAAGAGGGACTTCCCAGATCTGTCTCTGGAGTAGAGGAAAAAGCTAATGGATATGTTGAATCCTTATTCTAGGGCCAAATTTTGCCTTGATTGGAACCCTGTGACTACATATGTAGACTCTTAGAGGCAAGGGATATGTTTTCCTAATTGCCTGAATGGCGCCAAACAGCAGTAGAGTATACCATAATATAAAAAAGAATATAGAGCCTAGGTCCTTGCTGGTGTCAGTCAGCAGACTCCATTGAGGATCTAGCTTTATATGTTTGGAAATACGCACATAGCACCAGATTTCAGTCTCCTTTACGTGAATAAATATCTAGAGCACATCCATTTTCTCAGAGTAGAATGTGACCCACAAAACTGTGAAAACAGGAATAGGAAATAGCTGGTGGTACCTAACTGGCATTTCATACTGCACTGTATGGTAGATGAAGATATTTTTCCCTTATCTGAATTGTGAGCTTTCCGGACAAACTCTTGAAGCATAAGATTACCTTGAAGGATACCAATGTCACTTTGTGATGATCTAATACACCATAAATGACCATAAATCACCTGGCAGTTGCACTGTACAAACATGGTTATTAAAACAAAGTAAAAAATTGGTAATAAATTCAAATCCTGGAAGTTTATACCAAAAGCACTTTTCAAAGATGAAACAACTTAAACCCCTCAGGATTTATACCTCAATCCAAACATTGTTTTGTCTTTCCTTGACTTATTTATTTTTGGGTCAACTGTATATATTGCTTGCAAAAATTAGAAGAGGATTTGTTTTTTCACTATCAATCATGATAGTGGCTGAGACTTCTTTTGCAGTTTTAGTTTTGTTCATTTATTCCCCGATTCTGCAAACACATGGATGTCACTAAGCACATGTTCAGGGATCAGACCCACTGGTCTCTATGGGAATGTTTGCATGTGCAAAGATGAACTTATGGGTCTGTGTTTGTAGAGTCTGGCCATAGTGAGGTGGGATTGAACAGACATGTGCGTTCAACCACCCTGTCACAACACGGGTGATTCCCTAAGCCACATATGCAATGCCGTTGTTCTCTTTGCCATACCTGTTGCCTTCATGCTTGACTTCTAGTGATGTTTGGCACCTTTTGATCATGCAAAAGTAAAATAATATGAGCAAAATTATATGAAATATGAATATTTTAAAATAAACCTATTGTAAAACCCCAAATCAATAATTTTTCCTATCTGCTGTTATTCATGTCTGTGGTCAGCAGCCTCATTTACCCGGTCATGTGTTGTTGTTGCAGTGATCACTGATGGGCCACTGGATAAGACAGCTCTTACAGATGATGTGGGAAGTGAGGAAGATCTATATGAGGACTTCCGGAGTTCCAATCACCGCTATGGCCACCCTGGAGGAGGAGGAGAACAGCTTGCTATTAATGAGGTATCGCTCCTGTAGATCTAAGAATTAGTGGGGGAAAAGATACTGCTTCTGGTTTTTAGTTATAGGGGACATCATTGCCAGCAGGGTCCTGGATAAATAGGTAAGGCATCCATTTCAAATTGCTTAGGTCAACACTTTTAGTTGTGATGTTGTCCAGAGCTAGCATTTTGGCTTCCCCTTGAACTGCTAGATCCAGCATCAAGTGGATGCTGATATGGTGTCACATGGAACTGCAGCTCCTTTTATTTTAGTTACGAGTTCCTCTCTTCTCATATATTTTTAGGGAATAAGGAAATACTATATTAAGACACTAGTGTGCTGCACATTCCAGAGCTAGTGAAAATTGCTAGAGTGATCAGAAGCTTAGTGTTTTCAGTTAATGAAGACAGAAAGATGAAACCGAAACCTTGAAATGTTGTTCTTTATACTTGTTTGAACCTCTAAACTTCAGTGCAAGCATGTGTCCAGGGAAGCAATGCGTTTGTGATGGTTTGACAAAGGCTCTTTAATTTATTTGTTTGACATCAGTTGAATTTCTGGTGTCAGATAAGAATTTATTTCTTTGTCTAATTGAAATGGTGAGTAGAAAATTAGTCAATGGGCAGGAACTGACTACAATTTTTAGGCAGATTCGAAGCCTTTTCCCAGTACATTACAATTGGCTTCTTGCTGTGCAGTAGTCTTTTTCTCGTGGGTGAATAAATCAACGTTTCATTGAAAGAGCTAAACCTGGCCATCCTGCAGCCTCTAAAATGCTCTGGTATACGCTCCTCTTACCTTTATATGACCTCTGTCAGAGGGAAAGGCAATGATAAAAGATGTGTTATGCCTGCTCACAGCTTGGGCATGGCTGGAGTGGTGTTGGCTCAGGTGTTAAGCCTCTGTCAGATAGAGGTGTAATGCTTCTGGGTGTGGGGTGCTGAGCTGCATACTCAGAACCGGTAGGTACAACCACTTTTTCTAAAAAGATGCAACACGTGTTCTTTCTAGCAGCAGCCTGCAGGCACAACTTGGGGGAGTAGAGCAATGTCAGTTGTCCCACTCCAGCCACTTCATTATCCTGTGCTCAAGAAACCATGCTGATGCCTTTGTGGATACCTTGTCTACACTGGAGGGAAGGAAGATACTTTTTGTATCTTCTTTTCCAGCAGTTCCCCACAGTAGTAGTCAGGATATGGCCCTTAATTTGATAGTGTGACACAAATGGATGTTATTTGAGGGAACTGTTGACATAAATTGTAAGGGAAGAAGTATACCTGGTCTGGGTGATTTGGATACAACATTGTTAGCAGAAGCAATTCAGTCTAGGCAGCTTCCTTCAAGCTGTGTAGACTGAACCAATAACAAACTGAACTAACATTCAGTTTTCAATTGGGAAAGGCAGGGAGAGGCCTGCACTGATCCAGGTCAGCAGGTGGGGGTGCAAGAGCATGTCTCCCAGCCTATGTGCCCTGAACTGCTGTTCTATTACAGGTTTAAACCAGTTTCTGATCACTAAACTAGTTTATGTGTAATTTCTGTCACTAGTCTAACTCACACTGAAGATCATTATACTTGGATACCTTACTGCCATTTTCAACCAAAAATATCCCCTCTACTTCTTACTCTTGATTTTCCCCATCACTAAATAGAGAACATCTCAAATGAAGCCCTGAGAATTATTTGTTAGGACTTCACTTTGTCAAAGCATTAAAATAGTAATTTCAGTAGGAGGAGCCAATGCCCATTTTATCAGTTCTGCTCTCTGAAAATTTAGACATCAAATCGCATGTCTGCCTATAAATAACATGTTAATGGTTTGGAAAACATAGACCCCAATTTTTGTATTCCTCTGTTTCTGTGCTTGGTAGAGCAGTGACATGGGGTGAAAAGATATGCAAAGTGTCTGCATTTCCCTTATTCTAACGTAATTTTGAGGCCCACCAGTTCCCCAGCATTAGTTTGAGCAGCCTTGAGACTCTAATATCCACTACTTTTCCTGCTGGATTCTGTGTACAAAGACTAAGTATTTAGATAAGGATGGAAAACTGGTTTAGGTGAAACAAAATTTGCTGCAAATCTTTATCTTGCTCAGTTCCCTGTGCTACTATGTTCCCTTCCTTTCATTAATGAAGGGAATTGGATTGAATGTGGTACATATTAAAGTGGCAGTAGTATGTTCTCCCATGTTTACCTGAGGAAGACCCTGATATATTTGGGAGCATTGGGAAGATATTTTATTGGAAACATTGAGAATATTTGAGGGGAGGAGGATGTTTCCTCCTCATATGCTGACTTTCAAAGTTTTTAGTTTACAATCTAAATAGATATAGATATATAAATATGTGTGTATGTATGTATCTATATGTTGCAGGGGTGTAGGTTGTAGCCGTGTTGGTCTAAGGACATAGGCAGACAAGGTTCCTTGGGTGAATCTGATATCTTTTATTAGACCAACCCAAATAGTTGGAAAATAGTTATTAGGCAAGCTTTCGGGTTCAAAAACCTTTTGTCAGGCTAAGGAAGTCTCTGCAGTTGGTATGTGCTCTTCCTGGATGAGCACACACCAACTGCAGAGACTTCCTTAGCCTGACGAAGGGTTTTTGAACCTGAAAGCTTGCCTAATAACTATTTTCCAACTATTTGGGTTGGTCTAATAAAAGATATCAGATTCACCCAAGGAACCTTGTCTGCCTGTATCTATATGTGTAAATCTCTCTCTCTCTCTCTCTCTCGCTCTCTCTCTATATATATAAATAGATAGATATGTATATCTATCTATATATATATATATATAAGTGTAGTGTCATGGGGGGGTGATGTTGTTGTTTGGATCTATTTAAAGGAGAGGATTAAAATACTGTATATTTTAGAGATTATCAGTTTTCTTCAAAAAGCTTTATGTAATTGAATGTTACATAAATCAGCAATACATAAAGATAGACAAAATTAAACTGCATTAAAATAGTTCAGCCTTACAAAGTGGCCAGTACCTTTTGGTCGCTGTCTGCGGACTCCTTCCTAGGGCAGTAGTAGTTAATATAGAGGGAGGTTCCAGCTCACTGCGGTGGAGATGGTTCAACTAACAGAGTCTCTTCTGGGCTCCTGCCTCCAGCTCTACAGTCACCTCTTCAAAGAGGGCAGCAGCAGTTAATACAGGGGCACCTTTATGCCTCTTGATAAATTCTCAAAACCATTTTTCTTCCTTGGAAATGGTCCTCTGTATGCATCATACGTTATCTGAGTTTCTCTTTGATCATTTTTTATTACTGAGGATAACGATGTTTTTCTTAACTGTTCATTTTATGTAAGTTGCTATCCATTTGGTGATTTTAAGTCAGTAAAGAATATTGGTTTATGCAAAGCAGTTGCAACGTACCTAGTCTTTGAAACATACCTGGTGGATCTGTTGGCCGGTCAGCTAGAACAACTTGATTTCTTGTTTGTCTGATTGCTTACTTACTAGCCAATTGGCTCCCGGGGGCAATTAAGCCATCATATGACATCAGATAGCATTGTCAAAACGCTTCTTCATGTGATCACCTTCTGGAAAGGCATACTGAGATGAAATATTAATCTTTAATAGAAGTATTTTTCCATGAAAAAATGCCTGAGATTTTAAAAAGGATGTATTGCAAATAAACCTGGATTCCCAGCCACCAGGGAGTTCATCAGTGCATTAAAATCCATGTACTCTATAAAATAATAATCATTGCTATGAGAGGGTTTTTTGACTATTTTCAGTAATCACCTTGGGAGGAATTGCAGGTGAAGAAGCTAATACACAATCATTTAATAAACTTTTGCAAGCAGTATTATCTCTGCTTTATTGCTTCTGCTGTGGTGCTTTATTGGTCTAGAGTGAAACCATGCCAATTTTTTTTCTGGGGGAAATTTTCAAATAAGCAGAGGAAGAGAAAATGTGTTTAGGCACACAAAAGTTCCTTATTTTTAACTTTGTTTGGATCAGTTTTGGATCAGGAAAAATTGTTTTGGAATAACAATGAAGCCTTCATGAAACCAGGACTTATTGGCAGCAGGGTTGGAGGGATAAAAGCAAACTGGGAAGATTTACAGGGACTACTGAGAAGAACAGTGTGATGACAAGAAAGAAAGAAAGAAAGAAAGAAAGAAAGAAAGAAAGAAAGAAATCAAAAAGTAATAATAGGGGTTTAGGACAGAGCTATATAAATCAGTTCCTAAAAAAGAGAAAAATAATCCTCTCAGGGGCTCTGTGTCAAAGGGTTCTCATCACCAGAAGGAATGGCTTGAAAGAGACATTTGGTCTGAACTGTATTTTTGCTTTGAGGCAACTCCAGACAACAGATCCACACATTGTACTGCATTGTTTCCGAAGTACAAGAAGTTGTAAAATATGGTCAGAAAAAGCTGCCCTTTTAATGCTTCTCAGTCTTCTCAGTCCTACATGAAAACATTATATATTGTAAAAATACCAATTGACCAGGTTATATACAAAATCTTCTTGCTCACTCCTATAATGGTAATGATGGAAAAGAAAATAATACTTTATCATCCATCAAATAAAATTAATGGATCTAGGTAAGTAGACTTAGGCATGGCTGATTTGTGTAGAGGAGTCATTCATACCCTTTCCTGTAAATGGAAAAGATTGCTGCATAACTTGAAAAATGTGTTACTGTATCTGAGCATGTACTTGATAATTAGCTGCTGATTTTTCTCCCATACATCTTCCCCAACATATCAAATGAAGGGATCAAACTTCTGGAAACTGTATTTGCAAGTAGTTACAAAGCTCATAACTTTCTCTTAGTCATCTATATTAATAAATTTAACGTATTTGGAAACACAGTAAAATTATGGTCCCAGTGAAGTTAATGGCAGTATCTTTGACTTCCATTTGCCCAGGGTTTCATGTAAAATATATTATAGAATCCCAGTAAGCCTTAGATGGCCAACTTTATAATATTTTATATTACCATATTTACTCACATACCACAAGCACCCTTTCCCCACATATCTACTCACCCCCAAAAGTTGGA